TTGAAATTTGAAAAAGAAACATTATTGCTTGCCAGTGGTGGGAGTGGAGGTTAGAGGGTAGACACATGTTAACTTGGGTGACAGGAAGGGCAATCTACAAGAAGAGGGAAGTTGACAGAAGAATGATGAAAACTGATGAAGACACAGGGAGGTATGCAAGGACTAAAGGGGATAAAGGTAAACAGTGATCTATATACAACCTGGAACAACAGTGTTCTGTGAATAGATACATGAACAGAGACACATGCTGAATGGGTATGGGAGGAAGAGTGTAACATATATATGGTAGTGTACTGGTAACGAGTCAGGCTGCTAACCTCAAGGTCAGCAGTTCAAAACTATCAGCCGTTCCACGGGAGAAACCTGAGGCTTTCTGCTCCTATAAAGATTTACAGCCTCGGAAGCCCTATACAGGATTGCTGAGTCGAAACCGACTCCACGGCACACTACCACCATCCCTGTGTGTGTGTGTGTGTGTGTGTGTGTGTGTGTGTGTGTGTGTGTGTGGAGAGAGAGAGAGAGTCCTGGTGTGGTGCTGTGGGATAATGCCATGGACCAAAAGTTTGTTTGAACTGCAGGATCAGTGATTCAAACTCACAAGCCGCTCCTTGGAAACCCTATACAGGGTCACTATGAGTCAGAACCCACTCTACTGCACTTAACAACAACAACATATATGTGTGTGTACGTGTGTGTGTATATGTATATATATCCCACAGGTATACAAGAGTTTGAAAGAGGATATTGGTACACGAGTAAATACCTTTCCTGCGAACACAACTATGAATGTGGTGGAGCATATAGCAGGCAAAATGCTGAAAACTTCTTTGTTGTTGTTGTTGTTAGGTGCCATCAAGTCAGTACTGACTCACAGTGACTCTATGCTCAAAAGAACAAAACACTGCCCAGTCCTCGGCCAACCTCACAATTGTTGCCGCACTTGAGCCCATTGATGCTGCCATTTTGCCAATCCATCTCACTGGGGGTCTTCCTCTTTTTCTCTGACCCTCCACCTTACCAAACATGATATCCTTCTCCAGTGACTGGTCACTTCTGACAATATGTCCAAAGTATGAGAAATGCAGTCTGGCCAAACTGGCCTCCAAGGAGCATTCTGGCTGCACTTCTCCCAACACAGATCTACTTGTTCTTTTGGCAGCTGATGGTACTTTCAATATTTTCCTTCAACTCAAATGCATAAAAACTTCTTACACATGATCAAACATTTTAAGGCAATGAGTCTCAGGACCATAGTCTCAGAGACACCAGAGTCAACTGGCATAAAACGATCCACAAAAACAATGCTCTACATCCTACTTTGGTAGTGTCTAGGATATTGAAAATACATAAGTGGATGTCTAAGGTATAGCTATTGGTCTCTCCATGTGCAGAAAAAAGAAGAGTGATGAGAACTGAAGATGCTTGGAATCAATTAACCCAAAGGACTAATGGAACACGTGACCCTCAGTCTCCATGACTCAGAGACCAGAAGAACTGGATGGTGCCCAGCTACCACTACCACCTGCTCTGAAAGGGATCATGCTAGAAGGTGCAGATAGAGTGGCAGAATGTGTGGAACAAAACTCAAAATTATCTGTAACAAAAAGACCAGGCTTCCTGATTAGAAAGACACTGAAGGAACCTAAGACTATGGCCCCCGAACACCCTTCAGGTCTGGAAAGGAACTCACCCTCATTGCTCAACTTTCAGCCAAGCATTAGAAAGGTACATAGGGGGAACAACAACACTAGTAAGGCAAGCTCACTATGAATGATGAAATCATTCCAAATCAAAGGGGCAGTATGTGCCTAAGGACAACGGTGAGAAGGGATGGCAAGGTAGGTGGAATGGAAATATGGACGTAGGAACCACAGGGAAGAAGTGGGATAACTGTTGTTCCATGAAGGGGATTGTAATCATTGAGATGAAATAAAGTCTACAATTTGTTCAATGTAAAACTGATGAACTTGTCTGTAAACCTTCACTCAATTCACAATAAAAAGTTAAAAAAAAGAGAGAGAGATACCAAAAGAGAAGCTGAAAATATTGCCATCAAAATGCAAACACTAGAGTATTATTTATATTGGAATAATATATTGTAGCATTTCAACAGATGAATCAAGTTGACGAGTCAAACTGTCTGATTCAGAAGTCAATTTAAAGACATGCACAGATCTCTACCAGTCATTAACAGGCTGTTTACATAATTTAACAGATCCCTGATGGCACAGTAGGATAAGCACTGGACTGCTAACTGCAAGGTAGGCAGTTCAAACCCACCAGCTGCTCCACAGGTGAACGATGTGGCTATCTGCTCTCGAAAAGATTTAGTCTCGGAAAGCCTACCTATACAGGGTCGCTGTGAACCAGAATCAACTTGATGGCTGTGGGTTTGATTTGGGGTTTTGGGGGTTTTTTCTTTGTTTTGTTTTTTTATATAATTTAAGAGAAGATTTTGAAAAACATGAAAACACCACAAAGCAAATACTGCCAACTACTGATTATCAAACAATGATGCACTATTGCAGGAGCATTTGGAAAAAGAAAACAAGAAAATGACAGAAGTGCTCCTAAAATACTGTCAAGCGGCAGAGATCAATTCCATGGAAGCACATTCTACACCTTCAATGACACACTTGAATCCTGAGTGAAAAGAAGGGAGAGAGAGTTCAAAGGTCTTTCAAATAGATTAAACAATGTGGATGTGCCTGATGAAGAACGCATGAAGACATTCATAAAATGAGTGAAGTCTTCTTATCCCAATGATTTAAATCTGAAAGTACATCAAAAAGTATTGGCACAAAACCATAGAAACCGTTATTGAACAAAAATACCAAACTGTGAAGGTACTCTTCCTCAACATAACCTCTAGACACACTTCTGAGAGTGGTGTTTCCATCTCTCTAACCCTTCCCTGAAGAATGCTGTGCTCTTCCATTTATTTCACACCAAAATACCAGTTTGGGCATCTGTGAGGAACTCACATTATGTTCTGTTTCAACATTCTTCGACTTTGGGGAACAGAAAGAAGTCAGAGGGAGAAGATCAGATGTAAGGTGGATCAGATAAGGTTTCCCAATGAAATTCTCATAGGACGGCCCTTGCCACCCTCAAAGAAGGAGTAAATGCATTGTCATAAGGAAAAAAGAAGAAATTCCTCCATGTAATTTTCCTGCCATTTTCCTCACCAATGAAAATTTCAATTTTCTTAAAACTTCTTCATGATAGGCCCCTGTGATTATCCTGTGCCCTTCAAGAAAATGTATCAAGATTGCCCCTTTGGAATCCAAACAAAAAGTCACCATAACCTTTAGAGCTGACCTCAATGCCTTGAATTTTAACTGGCCCAGCAGATCCCCTGAGAAGCCACTGTTTTGATTAGAACTTAGTTTTTGAAGGCACTCTAATGAGACTGAGACAAGTGCATTACTGAGAGAACTTGTCTGTGCCATCCACTGATGGCAGATATATTTAAAGACGATTGTTTGGAACAACCTGGGGCATGTATGAACTGGAACCCTACTAGCAGTACTTTTTGACTTACCCTCATATTTACTGTCTCACTTTTGTAGATGAGGAAACTATGGTTTAAAGAGATTAAGTAACTTCCTCAAGATTACAAGCACCTGGAACTGGTAGGGGCAGGATTTGAACTCTGGTCCAAACCATGTTGCAACTATTATTAGCATCCTGCCCCAAACAATGCAGGAAGAGGAGGTAAAGCCCACTGGCACTGGAAACTGTTACTAATGTAGCAGCAACAAAAGCCCTCCCCAGACGTCGCCTCATAGAGTTCGCCCGATCAGCCACAAAGAAGAATCACCTTCTGAAACCAATGAGAAACCAAGGCTCAAAGAGGGACAGCATCTTGCTCAGGGACAGCTGATACGTAAACAGCGAGGACAAGAGCCGGATTCCAGATCACCCTACCCCTACCGGGACGACTAAGCCTGGCTACTTTCGCTATACGAACTGATACCAGAAAGACGGTTAGGCGCGGTGGGCGCAGCCAACGCGGGCACTGAAGCCTGCCCTGCCAGCGACGAGACTGGGCACTCTGGCATTCAGGTGAATACAGGTCACTCCCCACAGGGCAACTGAAAGGCAAGCTGGGCTCGGACAGCCTGAATATTCCGGTTACGAAAGGAGAATGGGATGTAAGGCCAGACGCGCGCTTCCCGAGCCCACCCTGAGGAGCCAAATTTAACTTGGGGCTAAGCTAGGCGTGGAGGATGTCTAGGGAGTGTGTCCCGCCCCCCAGACTCCGGGCCCTGCTGGGGTTACTCACCCAGAACACTGTGGAGTAGAAGATGAGCGAGAACTTGAGCCAGATGTAGGAGAAACGCGCGCAATAGCGCACCTGCTCCGAGTCACCACGGGGCATCCTGGGTGCTCCCCGCACGGGGCTCCAGGACTCCCAGGATCTGGATTCAGTCCCTCCGACGCGCTCGCGGACCCACCTGCGTCTGCCCTGCCGCCGGCCCCGCCACCAGCGCTCTCTGCCGACTGACACCCGCGCGCCGCAATCACTGCCCCGCGGGGGAGGCTGCCAGCCCAGGCGGCCAATGGGAGCTTGGCGGTGGCCCAGCCCTCGAGAGGGGGCGGGCCGGGGCGGGGCTGAGGTTCAGGACACTGGAGGGATTGACCAGAGGGGAGGAGGGGCTAGGGCTTTGCAAAAGAGCTCGAGTTCCATTCTGGAAACTCCAGTGCTAGGGGCTGGGAGTGGGGCGCTGGAGAGCGAGTGAGCGTGCTTATTCCCGGTTACATCGAAGGTGCTGATTAAATGCCGGCTTTAGGCCTGTTTTCAAGAGGGAAGAACATGGGAAAAGAGCAAGAATAGACAGCCCAGGTGTTCAAAGTGTGCAAAAGACTGTGCAATTGGGTGGAATAAAGAAGTTGAGTTGTTCAGTCTGAGGGGGACAGAGTATCCGACACAAAGTGCGCATCTAGGGAAGTGTAGCAGACCAGGTAGGGATAAGGTGTTTCCACTGAGCTAGGGCCCGGAGTTTTCTCTTGTAACAGATTCATGGATCAAAGCCCAAACGATATGATCTCGTGGAATCCTCTTCTCTGGGACCTGGTAATACCCTGGTAATACCGATCCCTGCTCCAAGGAGCCTCTGGCACGCTTATCCCTTAGCCGGGCCTGACCCGGCGTCTTCCCGGCTTGTCCTTTTCGATGACTTAGGTCAGAGTCAACGTGGGTCTGTCTTCCCCAGTAATTCCCTCTTCCCTGACCTGGCTTAGCCCGGGGCTTGGGAGCCAGACAGCCCACGTTTGTGGCATATGGCAATTAAATGTGTGGCCCAAAGGTCAGGAACTCGAGCCAGTGCTGCGTGGGGTCCCTGGTGGTGAGTCTAAGAATGACAATCATGTCCAAGTTCCTGCCCTGGGGCTCTGGGCTAGCAGGCTCTCTTTTACACTCGCTATATTATAGACTGAGTCCTGGTGTGGTACTGTAGGATAAGCCCTATATAGCAAGGTTGGTTTGAGCCTCAAGGTCGACGGTTCAAACTCACCAGCCGGTCCTTGGAAACCCTGTACAGGGCCGCTATGAGATGTAACCGACTCGACAGCACTTAATAAGAACAAAAGAAAGAGACAGTCTGATCGAGATGGGGTAGATCCTGGTCCCGGAGGAAGAGCCTAAGATTGGGGTTATGCACTGACTGGAAGGTTTAAAAGGAAGGCAGTTTTTCAGGTACAAAAGGCGTGCATATTGCAAGGTGTTTGTGTGCCGAAATAGAACTAGAACCAGGAACTCCTGCAAGTTACCTTCAAAGGAATAACCCAGGACTAAGAAAACACCAGCAGCTCCTCGGAAACCCTATTCAGGGTCGCTATGGGTTGAAACCCACTCAGCAGCACTTAACAACAACAACAAGAAAACATTAAGGAGCCCTGGAAATGTAGGGCATTATGGGATGCTAACCCCACAAAGTCCTTGGTGTGGAGCTGAGGGTTAATGCGCCAGACTGCAAAGCCGTTTGAACTGCAAGGTCGGTGGTACAAGCTCACCAGCTGCTCCTCGGAAACCCTGTACAGGATCGCTATGGGTGGGAATCGACTCCACGGCACTTAACAACAACAACCCCGCAAGGTCAGTTATTCGGATCTACCAGCAGCTGGGGGAGAAAGATGAGATAAAATTTACAGCCTCGGAAACCCCATACCGGGTCACTATAAGTGGAAAATTACTCCACAGCACACAACCACCACCATCTGTTCCCCACCCCCTGGGTAATCTAGCAGTTTCCTCCTACCTCTGGAGGTTTTGCTTAGCACTGTGTTCTCTAAGGGGCAAGCCTTTTACCCTATCCCTAGGGGCTAGCCCCTTCTCAATAAGTGGAGTAGCCTCCTTCCCCACTCCCTATATTTAAACCACAGCCCCAACTACCCACAGTGCTCTCCTACTTGGGTTTTCTTTCCAGTTGCCCTTGGCCTGAGTTCTGGCTTCCTGGCACTGTGGGTTAAAGTGTCACACTGCAAAGCCCTTTGAACTGCAAGGTTGATGGTTCAAGCTCACCAGCTTCTCCTTGGAAACCCTATACAGGGTCGCTATGTGTCAGAATCGACTTGACAACAACAGCTAGCTGTACTTCCTCTCATCTTTCAAATAATTCCTAGTGACACACACCCTTCTGAACAGTTCCTCCCATGTCTCCCTGAGTCCCTCAGCCTGGAGCTTCTATGAGATGCCCTGAGGGGACCGAGGACAAAGTGACCAGTGATAGCCCAGAGGTTGCTTAGCTGGTGAATGTTTAACAACTAGATCTGATGGGAGTACTCCTGCCAAGGGAGCCCAGTGCCTTTGGGGCTGCAATAAAAGCCTTTCCTGGGTTCCTGGGCATATTTGTTGACCCTCCCCAAGGAACTGGTTCCCACTGGAGTAGCTAAGCTCCCACTTCAGCTACTTTTGCAAAGACTGAGACCTCAGAAAGGGTAACCCTTTTTCAACCTTCTCTCCTGGAGTTCTGGGCTGGGGGTTAGGGTTCAAGGTCAGAGGCCTGGTGCTAATCCCAGTTTTGTCATTGACTTTTTGTGGGACTATTAGAATGTCTGACATAGCATGGCATATAGGTGTGAGCGTCACCCAGCCTGAATATGAAAATCACCCAATGAGTTTGTAAGGTATCCTGATATCCAAGCCTGTTCAGTTAGCAGGTTTCCAGTAAAAACCCTTGAGTCTGTGTTGTTGATAAACACCATTGAGTTGGTTCTGACTCACAACAACCCTGTATAGGGTTTCCAAAAAGATGCTGGTGGGTTTGAACCACCAACCTTGTAGTTAGCAGTCCAGTGCTTATCCTAAAGTGCCACGACTTTCATAGGAAAGTGTATGTGTCCTGTATACTATATACTATGTAGAAACCTTAGGGTTTTTGTGACTGTAAATCTTAATGGGAGCACACTGCCTCATCTTTCTTCCACAGAGCAGCTGGTGGGATTAAACCACAGACTTTGTGGTTAGCAACCCATTAGTATTCTTTTAAAGCTCTCCAAGAACACTCTAAAGTGAAACCAATATTGAGAATTGCTGGTCTAGAGGTAGTGATGAGGACAAAGTGACCAGTGATAGCCCAGAGGTTGCTTAGCTGGTGAATGTTTAACAACTAGATCTGATGGGAGTACACCTGTTGCCAGTTTCCATCTTGTAAACACTGGCGTCCTGTCTGATTTCAAGTTACCAACTTAAAGTCAGTGAACATGGAGCAAAGAAGAGGCAAATACAATAGATCCTGGATCCAGCACATCACTGAAATTCTGCTTCTCAATCCATCCCTGAGGCTTTAATGATGAGCATGTTGTCACTGCTATTAGAGTTTGTTGAGTTGGTTCCAACCCATAGCAACACTGTGTACAACAGTACAAAACACTGCCTAGTCCTGCGCCATCCTCACAACCGTTCCTATGTTTGAGCCATTGTTGCAGCCACCGTGTCCATCTCATTGGAGGTCTTCCTCTTTTTCACTAACCCTCTATCAAGGGTGATGTCCTTCTCCAAAGACTCATCCCTCCTGGTAATGTAGCCAAAGGACATGAGATGTTGTCTCACCATTTTCACTTCTTAGGAGCATTCTCGCTGTACTTCTTCCAAGACTGGTGAGCATAACGATGCCAAAATGAATTCACTCTTTTCATTAGCATAACAAGTATTAGAGATGAGTTTTCATGTGGTGAAATTAATAGCATTCAAGTAATGTAGTTCAAGTAGGTTAGCGATACTACCCATCTCTCCTAAGGCCTGACCTGCGCTCTTAGGGACCACATATAGGGATAAGTCCTTGCGGGGTCCTCCTGATATGACCATCAATCTAACTGAATCTGCCTCTAGAATGCTGTATCTGTCTTGAGCAGACTTTTCTTGCATGGTGGTAGTCAGAGCACCTGAAAGACCAGAACGCTGGGCTTTCATTCAATTACAGAACAGCTTGTATGAACTGGTTTTGTGGCTGCTTGCTAGCAAATATTAGTTTTGTAGATATTTGTATGGGCAGAAGAATTTGGTCTGAGATCTGCTTTCATGATAACCTGGCAGAGATGTTGTTGTTGTTGTTAGGTGTCATTAACTTGATTCTGAATCATAGCAACCCTCTGAACAACAGAACAGAACTGCCCAGTCCTATGGCATCTTCACAATTATTATTATGTTTGAGTCTTTGTTGCAGCCACCCTGTCAAACCATCTTGTTGTAACTCTTTACGGGAGTAGAAAGCCTGATCTTTCTCCTGAGAACGGCTGGTAGTTTAGAACTGCTGACCTTGAGGTTAGCAGCTCGATTCGTAATCACTATGCTACCAGAGCTCCTTGTCAATCATAAATTCCTGCAAAACAGTGGCTCTGTGAGATGTTAAGTAGTTTTTGAGTCTGGGAAATGCTGCATGTCTTCTCATAACCTTTAACATGAGAATGGATATGATGTATCTGTCTCTAAAAGAAGGATGTGTACACAGATTTTCTCAACTATATTAACCACAGAACCATTCCCGCTCCTCCACACCAGCTATTAAGGAACTTGCTTCCCTGGGAACCTACTTTGGGAAATGCTGCCCCTCGGGACTGTTTCTTTTGGAGTTGAATGGGACCTCCTAGCAGTTTTATGCCGTATATTTAAGATCAAAATTAAAAAGCCCAGAGATTATTTCCGCTTTGTGATCAGCTTTGCAAAATTGCACAACTTCCCTTGCTACAATTGTGAGACAACCAAGTCTGTGTTCACACCTCAGAGGGCCCTGGGGTGAGGAACACACATTTGGTTCTTGTGGACACTAGAGGATTCAAGACAAGATCTTCCAAGGAACAGCAAACAGCTCAGCGTCCAGAGGGCCTGAAGTTACTCCAAGGGTTTTCCGCTCTGTAAATCATCACAGAGCGACCTCTAAGAGGTTTGCTCCTCAGGTCCCAAACTCCTCACTGTGCATGGCTGCCTTGAGCTCCTGCACCTAGGGAAGGTTAACTGCCCTGGCCCTTCTCCAAACATCCCAGGGCCTTCCT